TGTGGTGTGGCCAGTTGGCATATTTACATTTTCCAGATTCCAATATTGAGGTTGTACATTGTACATCATCCAGTATGTGTCGGTAGGGATTATTGTATACAGGCGACTTTCACTCCCTACAATACCTCACGAAAACAACAACCATGTCCAGCTATGGAAACTCTTATTACAAATTTACAAAGTAGTAGTTCTATAGTTCTATTACTGCAGCCCCTGTAGCCCCCCACCTTTCTGAAAAATTTAGATGACTTAAATGACTTGTTGCTATAGTTGAGCCACCTATCAGAAAATCCCCCCCCCCCCACCTTTCTGAGACTCAGGGATAGCTACGGTCAAATCGCCAGTGCTCTTCTAGCTTGTTCGAATAGTACAGTGTGACTCCGGTCTGTCATCAACGCATTCTTTTCGAATATACCCTGACCCTTGTCGTGGTAGTTCCACTAACGAAACAGTCAACAAAATAGTATACAACAGACATATGTTCAATTGGATAGGTGTCGTGCAGATTACCTGACATGTGGGTGTACCTAAACTCTTAAATTGTTACATTCAAAGACTGTTTGCAAGCCAAGTTGTCAAAACTAACGAAATGGGCGTCTATAGTAGCATAATAGGACTGCAGTCTGTTAGAACCCTATAGTATATTTTTACTCGAGTGTGACAACGTTGTCTGTCAATACGCAGTAAAGAATAGACAACTCGCGACTCTAACTGGACTTTTTAATTGCTCGGAATGTAGGATATGTATTTTATTGTCATTTCATTTGACGTAATTGGTATAAAAGTCTTGTGAAGAATTTCGGCTGCATGTAGCGAAGCATGGAGTTGAGATAATGTTATTGTGAATACAAGCTCGACACGAGTTGGTGGGTTACACGTTATAATATTCACCAGAGTCGACTATCACTTATCGTGGTATATGTAACTCATAATACACATTTTACGTTTATGTAAATTCAGCAAGAATGAAATGAGTTTAAGGGTACTATTATATTGTGTGACATTTTTTAAGACTGGATATTTGACTTCATTAAGGATACGATTAAGGTGGATTACTAGTGTGAAATATTACGATTTATGAGGCAATTATACCTTTATAAACATTACACCTTGTTACATTTAAAAGGGATTTAACATTCAACGTATTTCAACCATATGAAATTCTATTAGGATGAAATTGAAAATTAAGTGTAGCAAATTTTTGCCATAAAATTCATCACAGTTTAACGGTTATTGTGGACATTACACAGCGAGTAAGGTGAGTTAAAGGTTCTGTTATTAATCTTCAGTCATTTCAGGTCGGCATTATGATACTCGGGATCAGTGAAATGGCTGGTTGGATTGTCAGTTGACTGATAGATTTAGAAAATACTTTTCACTTTTCGAAGTGGTCGCTTCTTATGTAGAGAAAACTTTCTTTGGAGACGGATGATTGTTAAGTGGACAAGAGAGAAAGATTTGACGAGAATTTGACTTTAAAATGGCTTTTAAATATAGTTTTAATAAGGGATACAGGGTTATGTTTGATGCTTGTTGTGAAGAGTTTAGTTTAGAAACGGCTTATAGGACACTTTTTGTAAGAGTTAAAGGGTATTACTGTTAGGTGGATGATTATAGTAGAGACATTATTTTAGAATAAGCTGGAGGACAATTTGTATATGCAATACGTATAAAAATACTTCGGGGATATTGTAGACTAGACTGTAATTATACTTACAGATACCATCTTGTTTTGTCACTTCTTTGCTTATGTTGCAGACTTTACTGATACTTATAACACAATTAATATCTAGTTATGATTAGTGATACGGGTAATGTGAAGACTTCACTTACGATGTAGGACAATAATACATTTTTTTACCTCAATACATCAGTGTAATAAACGAAAAAATTGAGTTGAGTTACACGATATTTTACTATCACTGTTACTGTTTCCCACAAGTGACTTAAACCAGCAGTGTGGGAGAGTATTGTTGATAATACAAGCTTCACAGACTGGCTATTTCATTGGTCATCGGACTGGTCACAGCGATAACTTCTCGTAAAGCAGGACAAGGACAGTAGCCAATCATTGGTTGTCGATTTCAGTTGTACGAAAAGATGTTTCGGTAGTGACAGGGATTATCATTAAATACTGAATCGGTCGCCGACTTTAAAGATAAGTGAAATATCGATATGATATAGTATAAAAGTAATTTAGTGGATATTTTACATCATATTGGATAATTTCTTTAATTCTGTATTTACTAACAACGGACACAGGTAAGACGTTTGAAAATTGAAATTAAATTTTTTATAATATATTGATTAACGAAAGGATAATAGATGCCTGATATTTAAAGAAAAATTAAATGTTTTGCGACATATAAAAGAAGGATAGCGGTACCTTGCCAAAAGAAATTTCAAACATTACCATTTCTTCACTTCCAAATTTTGTTTTATCACTTAAGTACATGATATATATATTATAATCTGGCAAACTGGACCAGAATTGTCGGATATATCTTGGTGAAAATGCAAATAGGTTTTTGGTAATTACAATACCTATTTTATAGAAAGAAGGAAAACGTCGGTCTGTATAATGAGATTTATATGAATGGAGTGAAGTATTTGCGTCCTATATTATAAATTCAAATTTTCAAATACAGTCCTCCTCAGTAGTAAATATTTGTACATAGAAAAACTTATAATTCTCCTTTAGAAAGTAAAGTTTTTAAAGAAAGAGGAAATTGTTACTTGAAAATGTTTGAAAATATGTTTATCATTATGTTAAAGTACTAGGTCTGTGAGCGGTTTATATTATTTTTTTCATTGCAACTTTTAGCCCCAATGGCTGTCTGATATTTCGTACAGGGAATATTTCATGCTCTTCTTTTCTGGTTGACTATTCAGTTATAAATGTAGTTGGTTGTATCGGATATTATGAAATAGCTGTAGTTGTTTCGTACTAATCAACAGATGTTTTGTATTTGACCAGAGCTCATCGAATACTGCCTAGGCATGTTCGGTTACAAAATCCTCGGGAGGACGAATGTTCAAATATTACTTGTATTCTATCAAATATTACTTGTATTCTATCAAATATTACTTGTATTCTATCAAATATTACTTGTATTCTATCAAATACTATAAGTATTTTATCAAATATTACTTGTATTCTATCAAATACTATAAGTATTTTATCAAATATTACTTGTATTCTATCAAATACTATAAGTATTTTATCAAATATTACTTGTATTCTATCAAATATTACTTGTATTCTATCAAATATTACTTGTATTCTATCAAATACTATAAGTATTTTATCAAATATTATAAGTATTTTATCAAATAGTAAATGATAAATATATAGTTGTATCATTGTAAAAGACAGTAGGATAATTTAGTCTGATTAGTTTACTCGAGATTTAAAGCTTAACTTGATTCTATAGTTACATAAACTATCACAGGAATGTCGACAATCTAATAAAAGGGCCTACAGAGATACTCGACTACTTACAAATATGTGTACGTTTAAAGGAACCCCTGGGACTTTCCTGTCAGCCTATTTTGTAAGGTTAAAAGCTATTGTTAAAATAGGGCTGCACATTAAATTTTTGAATACTATTTAATAATGTTTGAATAGATTTCTTTGTAGAGTTCTCATAACTTATATTGTAACTCCGGTCAAAAAACTGCAACACTGGGAATATTGAGACAGGTGCGCGTTTAACGATTTCTTTCCTAATTATGCCTTGTTTCATGATACCCAATTAGCGACCCTGTCTAAAGCCAATATCTGGTGTAAGTCATTCATCTCTGTCCGAGGTTGATTCTGTATAGATAATAGTTAAGACCCCAACACCTATAATTTAAGGTTTGAAATCATATTAGTTTACAAAGGTTAAGCCATGATGAGATATTGTTACCTCAAATATTGTAAGAATGTAACGTATCGAGCGCTTTCAATTTATCTCGTTAGAAATATTGGACACTGGCAACTCGAGTTATTCGAATAAAAGCGCATGGAACGGGTGCCTTCATGCTTTGACTTACTTAATCAAACTACGCCACTATCCGATTTAATGTTTCATATTCGTTCCTGGTCTTTTAGTCCCGTTTTTAGTGGAACCGGTACCCTAAAAATTTATTTTTGAACACGAAACGAAAGATATTCTCTGGTTTGGAATTATATATCGTTGATCTAAGCTTTATATTTCAAATTTGGCAATTTCAAATTTTAAGACGGAAAATAAAAATATTGCGATCAAAATGTGGGCGAGATATTTAAGTTTCAAAAATGTCGACTAAGAACATGAAAAGGATATAGTGAGTAAAATAAACTAATGTAGTTATGAAGACACCCTAGTGAAGTAAACAGTCAAGTTGTATTTTACGAGAGGAAATATAAGATTTAAATATTTTTTACACCCTTTAATAATGAGGATTTACATTAAAAATTGTTTGATTGTGACAAGTGGAAGGGTTTTATCTAATGTACATCAAACCTAATACTCCTGGCTAAGACTGGATATACGATATTTATTGTGCCGGTTTATCGTGTATTTTTATTGCTTCACAACACATAAAGTTAATTTCTAGATCATATTTTAGCAGTCTGGATTATTTCATGTTGCTCTTTATACCCACTGAGTCGATTAAATATCACGATTTGATGCCGTTTTACATATTTTTAACGCTGTTCAGGGTAAAAATCAAACAACTATCATTAGCTATGCGGATTTTCAAAATTGTGCTGAAAGACTCCACAGACAGGATTGATCAAAAGTCTACGATTCAGAAGGCATATTATAATCGTCGATACTTTAAGATTGAAGCGAGCAGGTGCTCCCTCTACCAGCCTCCTAGCAGCTCGGAGGTTCGAAATATAACAATGTTCCCATTCCTGATATCCTTGTCGCTGAAATTTTCTGCTTATGTCCATGATAATGTTTTTCATTTTTCTACAATGACCATGAACTTTCTGATATTGGAATATTGATATATGACCAGGTTTAGAAATGACTAAAACCCATGGTCACTTTGAGATGAAAGTAAAATATTAAGAGAAGTAAGCCTACATAAACCGCCAACCTCAATCATTAGTTAAAATTCAACTAAGGATGACAGTAACTAAACGACAAAATAGACACTAGTAAAATTAATGGTGAAAGGCATATCCATGTCAAGGATAAAACAATTATATTTTTTACGAGACTCTAACGTAGAAATATTTTAAAACGCACCCCTTGACTCGTTTCTTTACATCTGTAACGTGATCTAAGATATCATTGTAAGAAAAATAAACTCAAAAATATTTCCCTTCTGATATGATGAATCACCTTCGTAAATATTGAAACTTTCATAAATTCCACTGCCTGATAAGCACATTTTTAAATTCTTCAAGAAATAAGACAAATTTCTCATTTAAGATATTTTTGTATCTTTCAACACACCATGGAAAATATGGAGTAACCAAAGCTCGGCAGTGATAATTGTATATATAACTCAGGAGTAGAATACCATGAAATTATGTTGTTATTCAATGCCCTCTCTACCCCTAACTGACGCGTAAAGGTGCGGGCACACAAGCGGTCTTGTTCGGAGATTTTTGTCGCCGATGAGTGTGCCCGTGCTTTAACATCAAGATTATCGCGTTTCCGACAGGTTTTATAATATCTAATAAGTTTTATAATTGTCTCCTAAATTTTTTATCGTCTACAAAACCGACCGTTATCATCCAATCAGATTTATTATCTTTTCAATTGCATGCTCCGCACGCGATTATTGACATGGTGGAAAACAATCGAATAGAGATTTTTGTCTCCTTGTGTGCCCGTGCCAGTCGGTGAAAGTCTTGACAAGACTCTAATCGTCGACAAAAATCTCCGGCCAAGACCGTTCGTGTGTCCGCACTTTAAGGATTGTCTTAGATACCTGATAAGGTGCAAGACAGGGAGACGTTTTGTAACCTATCTTATTCAATATGTATATAAACGACTGTAGAGTAATACATCAATTTTTTCAGTCTACTTTGCTCTCATTGTGCATCCATTTAGTCCCAAAAATTCTAAAAAAATCCAACTGTTAAAAGGAAATCCTTTTAAGAAAATTAAATTCTAAAGTGCTGAAAAAAAAATGTGTAACTCGTGCACACAATTAAGTTAATTTGAAAATGACAAGTCAGACAAGTGCAATTGAAATACAAAATATATTTGGTTTTAAGCTGGAATGTATGTAATAATATTGATATTGCTATTAAATGTATACAGCGACTATTTGCTAACTCCGCTAATGACATGACTTGTGTTAAGGGGTGGATATGGCCCCAGGCACGAAATATTTAATGAAATGGAAAGTAAAATGCAAATTGTGAAGATTTGACATGCTAATTCATTGACTTTTGTACATCTAACTATCGTAATATTTTTTTGTTATCAATAACAACCTTGAGAAATCACAAAACCTTTCCATAAAGAATATAAAAACGAACTAAAAATTGTAAAGGATTTTTAAGAGACTCAATTTGACACTTTGTAAATTTTCTTTACTTCAAGCTACCTGTATTGCATTATTACAACTTGTGTATGAAATCTTGTACGATAAAAGGAATTAGTGACATGGACCTTCTTCTCACACCAATCCTTAGGGATGTTAAAGCAGGTGTTTCCTCTAATTTAACAGAGTAGTAATTTTTCGATCTCAACTCCGATCTGCATAAATGGAGTTTGATTTTTCAAAAGACATTATCTGAACCACGACAAGAGAGTGCCAGGTATATGCCGGTTTACTTTGGTTAAAGTTTAAAACAAACACCATGTTTTACAAAAAGCATATTCTTACCACTAGTAAAGGTTGTAACTTTGTACTAATAACAAAGTTATGAAAGCACAGGCACAGAACTTTTTAAGTTTTTAAATTTGAATAAACAAAATGTGTATTAACAATTAAATGTTCTACCACTAGGTTGACCATCATGAAAGAAGTGCTTGAATAAGGAAGTTGAATAAATGAAAAGGGTCGCAAGGATCGGGATCAACACCATGTATTTGAAAAAAAAGCACCGGCTTTAGTAATCTTACCACGAGACACTGAGGGTGGGAGTTATTCTTCATTATAAAATGTGTAATGTTTAAAACATACTGTACGATTGAGATAAATTACCCTACAATAAAATATGTTTTTATTTCAATCAGATGTTTTATTCAACTTTCTATGGCTGAGAACTGATAAAACTATTACTAGTGATAGCTACTCGTTTATAATTTACTAACGAGATTTCAACTCCAAATTCTCCAAATTCTCTTAAACCACTTCTGAGTGCAGTATGAACTACGACCTGCTTAGTATTCTAGTGGTTAATGGTACTGCTCTCTTCCAGTCGACCCAGTTGTAAATAGGTATGGATCATACAGAAAAGATCAAAGCCCAGATGTATTGCTCTACTTTGTTTCCAACTGTCGAGGGATCTTTAACGAGCACGGTCTGTAGCACACGGGTTACTCGGTTTATTGTCCCGTTCCAACGACTAAGCGCTTTTTCTATGTCAGCCCCTCCGACATTGGCAAGAGAAAATCCAAAGGTATTACCTCGACCTATTGCGAGATTGCACCCTGGACATTCAGCTTAGCAAGCAAGACTTTTATCATTCAGCAACCGCAGCTCCTCGTACTTGAAGTGAAAGTTGAAATTTTGGAAGTCAGCTGTAACATATGGTAAACTGTAAATTGTTGAATAAGTAATGGCGAACTCATTAGTGTAAGTGGTACAATCTCATTTTCTGATAATATCATTACATATTTCAACAGCACTTTAATATATTATGATAAATGGTCTCGACTTGTACTTATTTTTAAAGGGGTAATCGAAAAGTTGTTTCATTAAGATTCAAATTATGTAATTGAAACGACATGAGCAAAACTTTGGAATTTCCCCGACAACTGCGATCAGCTGGATGGTTGCAGGTTCCGACCGCTAAGTTCGACGAGAAGATCCAATTTTGCTGCAACATGGGCAACTGCGACTGTCGGTGCGCTAGTTGACCAATGCTAGCGATAGGTCATATTCTGCCAGATGCCACAAGACGCAATTATCTCGACCTGTTCCCGGCTCTCCTGGGTGATAAAAGGGGCCCCTTTTGTAGAGACATTCGTGTTGTATTCAGTTTGTGGTATGCTTGAATGAGTCTAGCGGTTACCGTAGTGGATGTAATGCGCGGGTAGAAAGCACTTACTCTACACATTGTGTCATCTTCATCTTGATCTTCAACTATAGATGGCTCATCTGCCTCGCCTATCTCCTTGTCGGCATTTGGACTTTCACTTATGAGTTGCGATGAAGTGAAGTTTGGTGACT